TCTTACCTCTCAAATGGGGGAAAGGGCAGCTTTTTCGCACTCCTGTGTGGATACAGTGAAGAAAGCCTTGAGGAAAGCTGCTGGCAAGTGGTTACTTTGGCTACAGTGAAGACTTTGGTGGTCAGGGTGGATGTTCTAGGCAGGAGGAGTGACAAGCTCTTGAACAGGACCCTGAGCTCCAAGCTTTGAAGGGATTTCGGCAAAGTGGTGCCCAGATTATGTAGGAAGGCCAGGAACACTGAGCCTTGAAGCCCTGGGCTCTCCTTGAGCCCAGAGTCCTGTTATGGCCTAACAGAGGATCATGTCCCCTCAGTATACTTCACCTGTGGCTTTTCTAGCTTTTGTGCAGTTTTTCCCTCTTTCCTAAAGAGCAAAATGCCTTTCCTAAAACTTAAAGGCAGTAAGAGCTTTAAGCTAAAGTATGCTGAAATTTTGGCTCAAGCTCTTTTGACCTTGACCATACCTGCCACTAGAATGTGACCCCAAGAGCCTCCCCAAAATGGGCTGTCCAAGGTTCAGCATGCCTGTTACATAGTTTTTGCAATGCGTGCAAAAGGAGTGGGGAAATAACTCTGGGTCCAACTTAGACAAAGCAGACAGAAGAGGTGGAGAAGATAAGCTAAAGTGGACTGGAGTGTCAGTAGTGTGGTGGACACACTGTGGGCTTAATCTTTCCAAGACGATACTTTTCTGAGAGTGGAGAACCTCCACTGGACGAGACCACCATGCTTCCCACTAATTATGCAACATCTTAGAGGTAGGTGACTGGCAATAGACTCATGCGCAGTTGCTGGTTATCGTGCCTAAGGGGGCTGCTTGAATCATGCTGCTGAAGTTCTGCCCTGGCTGGGCTACCAAATGCTAATGATCACCAGGGCATGCTTCTACAGCTTCTCTTCTCAGCTGGCCCTGTGAGCTCTCCAAGCTTGTTAAACCGTGTGCCAGATTGGGCTTCTTAAAAGGACAGTACCAAGTCACACAGTGCTGGGTAGAATGCCTTCCAAGCTGTCATGGCAAGCTGCTTACTAAGCCACTGTTCCTTTCCTTAATTCAAAATGTGGTTGTAGTTAGTCATACAAATAGATCTGCAGCATGGGTTTGATGTAATGACTGCTGGTGTCAAAGACATTACAGCCCCCTAAGCTAAGGGGAAGCAGTTGTTCCCCAGAGCAGGTCTTAAGCCCTGGAATATTTGGGGTGGTTATAGTGAATGACAATATGTTTGCTTCTCTAGCTCGTGGTGGCTTTTCATGACACCAGTGCTACCAGCAATCAAGTGAGGAAAAGGGTACAGACAGATGCACAGAGGACATTACTGTGGAAGATAGAGCAGACTGAGTCTTATCCTTAGTTGGACTGAGATTACAAATGTTTTGTTGCAGAATGTTGTTTTCATTCTAATAGAGACTCACTACAATATACATTTTAAATATGTTCCCTGTATCTGCTGCTGCATCTTAGTTTCATTATATTTTTCAAAAGGCACATATAAGGTAAGAGAATAGAATTCAAGAATAGAAGAGACAGTTGCTTTTTAAAACTTCCATTTGTATGCACAAGCATGCTTTGGTTTTCTCTGAAGATGAAATTCATTTACAATAATTGTCGCTGCATCTTGCTTTATGTCTAGTAATGTTCTTCTTTTTTGTATTCCTCTAAAATGAGCAGCCAATGGAAAACCTAGTAAACCAATGGAAAACCTAGAGGGTAGATCAGGCTTCAGTAAGGCGTTGCACTGAATTCTACTGATCAGAAAGTGTAGAATGGTGCATTAATGAATAAGATTTTGGTCCTGAGACCTGTCCAATTCTAGCACCTGCTATTCATCGGCCCTCAATGGGATTTAATCAGAGTAAGTATGTGGGGTTATAGCCAAAAACAGTTATAAAAATAGAGTACCTATAGTTTGTTTGTTTTTTCAATTGGCTGGGTATGAATATATCCAAGAGCTTGGTGCAATCGCCATGCTGAGTGGAAACGATATGAGTTGCAGTCCAACAAATTTGGAGGCCATCAGCTTGGGGGAAGCTGGTGTAAATTCTATAGGGCAAACAGCAGATATTTAAGGCTTTGTTCAGCACTGGAGGGAGTTGGAGGCAGAGTGAAAGTTAAACATTAACAGTGCCATCTGGAACATGCAGAAGCCTCCCTGTGTTCTGCTGGACTTATCCCTAGCTAAGGCTACAATCCAATCCTTGCTTATGTAGGCATAAACCCCCGTAGAAGTTAGTGGGACTGAATTCTTCGGCCTAAAGATATGCAGGGTTGTGGTATTAGTGTGTTTAATAATGAATCCCAAATGTGCAATCCTGTATATGTTGATTAGGATGTATAGGATTACAGCCCAAGGCACAATGAAACTTACTTCTGAGTAAACATGCATAAAATTTTGTTGTATATGGGCCAGTTCTAGCAGATTGAGTCCTGGCTCAACAGAGGGTATATAAAAATATAGACAACAGTATAATCGGTTAGATCAGATTTAAACATACTTAAAATAGATCCATTGAATCAGTAGGACTTAAACTAGTTGTGGCTAAGATGTAGATTTACTCTAACTAAATCTATATCCAAGTAAAATGTGTTTTTAAAGCTGCTATTTTGAAAGTGGGGTAACCTGAGTCAGAGGCTGTCCCCTTTTCTTTTGTTTTTATATGAAAAGGAATATATCTGGCAAGAAAATGTGAGAATCTCTGATATATGAGAATCTGGAAACACTATTAGATTTGGGTTATAAGATACCATGGACAAACTTGGTCATAGGGTTGAGTGGTTGTCAGTAGTTGCAGGGAAGAAGCCTTTTTAATCAATTATTTTTGCAGTACTTTTAGAATTGGTATTTTGCATGTACTAGTATGATGAAGACTGATTAACTCAATTGAAAAAAAATTACTGATGGGGGCCAGAAAAAAAGAGAAGAAACAAGAAAGGGAAGTGGTTTAAATCCATCAAATATGGTTACAGGACCGAAAGTCGATGCTCACCTATAGAACTGTTTGTTTGTTTGAATGGATAGGTAGCTTCAGAAGGGTTCCCCAACCTGGAAGAGGCAGAGCACACAAGCCAAGAATTTTACTGTATTACTTTGGACCTTCCTGAGTGTTGCATGCCAAAGGAAGAGGGCAGCACTGTTTGACTAGTGGGCCCTTTGGCAATTTGAGGGCTGTGACAGATACTTGAGCTTGGCATCCTTGTGAGCCAAAACCCTGCAAAAAAAAAAAAAAAAAAAGGAAAAAAAATCTAAAATTAATTCATCTCTCTCCCTGCACCTCCTAACGCTGGCCAAGCAACTGCCAAGCTGAAATAACACTTACTGAAATTCAGATTCAAATGCATTTCAGTAAATGATGACATTTGCTATACTGCTCGAAGTCTCTCCCAGAGCAGGACTTCAAGACCACAAGTCCAGCTGGAAGGAAGTTTGACCCATGGACTATAAGTAGGGCTACATTAGAGGGCCCTTTTCTGCTTATGTATGCTTGAGAAATGTGTTTGCCAGTAGTTCTGTTCTCTTGAAAGGAAACTGACATTTATATTCATTCTTGCACCAAAGCAAATCCTAGCTGTGGGTCTGTAGAACTATTACAATATGCTATAATCATATGTAACCTTGTGTCACCTGGACACTTAGAAGTCAAGGGATGGGTCCAGCTAATGGAGAATATACCAGACTAGAATATACAGAAAAGGTTGCGCAAATTACTTGTTGGGTTACAGGAAATACAGCAGCTGAAGAAAAGGGAGGGTTTTTAAAAGCCTATAGATTTCCAGCAATATGTGCCGACCACAGTAGGTCAGACCAAGACTTTTCATTGATTCAGTAGCTACATGTTAGTGGTTAAAAACTCTAAAATCCCATACTGATGTTAATGAAAGAAATTAAAGCACATGGTGAACTCTTCAACTGAAATCAGTTGAGGTTAAACTATTTACCTTGGAGGCATTATGCTCAGGAGAGTGATAGTGATAAATTATGTGTGGACCCAGCAGAAATGGAAATCCATCAATGTACCTGTGGAATTCCTTGTGTAAACACAATGGGCATGATCCTGACCACCACTCGTGGATAGAGGATCCCAATAGGACACAGTAGGATGCCGAATTCCCTTCCTGTGCATGAAAACAGTGCACATAGGCAGTATAAGGGGCTACTGTGGAAAATGGGAAATCCAGGCATACCTCTCATATCCAAATCTAGCCATTGTCTCCACTTGATGCAAGTATTGGTCCTCTGGAGTATTGAGGACTTTGTGTCAGGCATAGAGTAAGGACTTGCTGAAGACCTAGAGGCACAAACAGACCTCCCATTTCCCCCAGTGGCCTCTCCTTCTGCTCCATGGATTAGATTGAGGAAAAGAGGGTTCTATGGGATTCTACTAGGAGTCACTGTGGACATGCACTGTGTGGACTGGATTATGCCCAGTGTTAAGAGTGCTTTTGATTTTGTTACACTGTTGTTATGATGATCATTTCCCTTAATGTTTTTGTAAGACCTACAAATCAATTAATTGTTTTTAAGAATCAAGATGGAATTACAGGAAATGCAGTGTCGATACCTAATGGCTATATTTACCATTGTTGTGTGTTGGTTTTGTCATGGTGGTGGGAGGTGAATGGGGAGTGAAGTGGGAAATGGAGGATGATGGGGAAGTGTCATGGCATCATCAGAACTGTCCTCGTTGGTTTTCTATCCTTTGCCTGTATTCAAGGGCTTCAAAACCTTCATATGGTTTGTTCACAGGGACAGAATCCACTTGCAACCTCCAAACCAAAGAAGTTTGAAAAAAAAAATGGAAAGGGACATAGAACAGAGTGTATGCCTGTCCTTTTCGGGTGCTTGTGTTCTTTTCTACTGACACAGTTAATACTAGCTTTAATTTTCAATGCGAATGACTAAAATTCCATCTGCATGTCAGCCCATCCTTCCCAAATACATCTTGGAACCATGTACAAGAAGTCTAGAGATGATTTAAAAAAATATGTTTGTTTTCCTCATATAGAACGTGCGTCTTTAGTCTCTTCGAAGACCCATCTGTGACTGGACCTGCAGTCTGCTGGTTCCCTCCGGCACTAAGCACAGCCAAATGAATCCATACACTCTCTGAAGAGAAGCTTCAGCAACCCCGCTAATCTGAATGGTTACAGGAGCTCTCTCACACAGCACTAGGGGAGGTAATCAGAAGCAGTAAGTGGCAAAAACTGACAAGATTTTGCTACGGCTTATTATGCATTTGCTGCTACAGCTTCGAACCAATCCCCATTCCACCCAAAATAAGCCATACATGCCATGGATAGCCTCATTTGATATGTTCAGCCAGCAAGAGAGTCTCTGTAAAACTGCCTGTCCCATGTCCAACTTGTCATGTCCTCCTGCCATTAATTAACAACGCATCTGTCCTTTGGGTTCCGCTTAACTCTACCCAGTGCTTTCCATCATAATTGTCACTGTTTACCTCTGCTGCTGAATGATGATGATAACAATAATGTATTGTGACATAAAGTTAATCTTGCTTGCTGCTCCTTTGCTTGTTATTGTTGAGAATTGCAATAAAAAGGAAGCTTCAGTAGGCCAACTGTGCAAATATCTCGGCTAACTACTTCACAAGAAGGCAGGCTACCTCAACACCAATAAAATTTTGACATTACCAGGGTCCTTGTATGAGTTTGTGTGTTCTTGCTACACCTTTATGAAGACCAAGTCATGAAAAAGAAAGCCAAGGTACTCTCCATTCTGAAAAAGTACAACCTGATAACCATCTCTTGATGCTTCTTTGAGGAACATTTCATGCATTTCCTCAGCAGATATTCCACTTCATGGAGGTGTCCCCGCTGCAGTCTAACGGGCACAGAAATTGAATATGGATCCTCCTCAAGGGCCACTGGTTCACATGATCCTACCTCCTTTCAAAAAGGGGTGAAAAACTACATTAACCCACTGGTGTATGTGAAGCACCAGGTTTGATATGCTACGTAGATGGTTGGCAAATGACTGGTGGCTCTCAAAGGACTTCCCTAGGTGTCTTCCTGCTAGCTTGACATTCTTTAAAGGGTGATATATCACTTCCAACCAGAAGTTTGAATACCTCCTTGGAGAAACTGTGATCCAGGGGTGGGTGCGAAATACCAAGAATACCACAGTAGCACATTTTAACTTTGAAGCATTTGCTGCCAATAGCAGAGTCAGAAGAGAAACATTTTCACTTTTTCAAATGGGGGAAAAGCTTCACAAAAGCCAGAAAGCCACTGACTGATCAGTGGTTGACCAAAAAGGGACATGGCTAACTGGAAAGTCCTAGAGTGCCAGGTGGAGACCAGGAAGTGTGAGTTTGGGCCCTTGGCCTGAGTTTCTGCACCTGTGAAGAGACTGAATCTGTTATTTTAAGTATGGAAGCATGGAAAGAAGATATTTCTAAATGAGATCTGGGACCTCCTCTAGTGGTAGGGGGGCTGTGTGCCAGCTTCATCAAGGGCAAAGTAAGTCAGGTAAGCACAAGATCGGGCCTTGAAGTTCTTGGACAAATGAACATTAAGGAAAGAACTTCACAGGATCGGCCCAAGGCATCTTGCTGCCTGAGGCGCAGCAGCAAATACTCCCTGCTGCTGCAAGGTAAAATGCATAGTATCAAAGTCTGGTCAATTTTTTCAGCACCCAAGGCAGCAAATGTCTCTTCTCCCTTGCAATATAAAATACAATAACAGTGAATTACATAACTATTTACTGCCTTCATGATGATCCAAAATCTGCTTCCTGAATAAGATGGCCTTACTCTTAAAGGTGGGACAAGCCCTGCAAACTATAATCCTATGTTACCTGTTACTCATGGTATTTGACTTCAGTGTAACACATACCCTTGGGAATGTGTGGCCATTGGGACCCAAGGAAACCACTCACTACAAAACACCTAACACTCTCCTTCCTGCACAACCATGTGCACAGATCTGTCCCGTTTCATCCAAGGTGCTAAAGGATGGTATTCTTTCTAAGGAAAACTTCTGAACTAAAAAAAGAACTACTGTCCTCAGGATAGCCATAGGCTGCATTCAAACTTCACAACAAACAACCTTGTGTGGTTGCTACAGTGAGCTTTTTTTTTGGAGGGGGGGGGGCTGGATTTGCCTGACACATGATCAAGTGGTCTCTGTGCTAGCATGGTTTCCACCCTCCTCCCACTGTTGGCACATATCCCATCAGTCACCACACGTGAAATTTAATCCTACACTGGATGACTGGAGCCGCTCCTGCAGCTGCCACTCTTTCCAGGTGACTCTGTGGTAGCTGCATACCAGAACCATAGAAAACACAATGCCAGGTTCAGACAACTGGAGAAAGCATGGAAACCATAGAACTGAACATTGATTTTTATCATGGTTTCTAAAAACCAAACATGCTGAAATACCATGACAAGGTTCAGATGGTAGAACAGACTATCCTGTGCAAAAAGCTAACGTCGTTTGTTGGGTCACACAAACCTCCTCACTATTCCATTGACACTAAGGCTGTAATTCTACTACATGCCTATCTGGGAATAAGTCTTGCTGAGCTCAGTGGACTTTATTTTTCAGTAGGCATACATGCAAGTGCACTGTGAAATGTATTTAGGTAGTTGAGCTTTTGTGACGGGGTGACAGTGGTTTCTGTGGGTTATAAGAATGTTTATGTTTTCATTCATTTCTGAAGGCCATCTGGAAATGTGGCCACTCCATCTAGTTAAGTGAGACTGGATATAATCCTGAAAGGATGTGCCAAAAGGAAAAAGCAATGAAAGAGAGCGCCTGCATGTCCACAACCTAATTCAGTCTTTCCTAACAAGGCACATGTTGGCCATACCCGTTCCTCAGCATTTACACTTTTGGCTGCCACGTATGTTCACACCAATGTATATGATCCCCTCCTTATGGCATGCATGTTGTGAGTGTATATTCATACATGCCTCATACAAACATCCAGTGAGGGACAGGAAAAGTATGACTCCATATAGTATTTTAACTGCTTGTAAGGGGGTTATCAGAGTCCCACTAAAGAACATTCACAATAAGGAAAGACTTTGGGATAGGATGTATGGATGTCAAATAGCCTTCCCCAATCTGGTGTCCTCTAGATGTTTGGACCAGCTCCTATCAGCCTCAGCCCAGCATGATCAGGGATCTTACAAATTATACTCCAAAACAGCTAGAGGACACAACGTTAGGGAAGTTGCTGTAGAACGGGGCAAGAAGATTTCTCCATTTTATGGATTGCAGTTCCCAGGAATCCCTTGTCACCATGGTAATGGTCAGGAATACTGGGTGTTCTAATCCAAAATAATTGGAGGGGGCAGGATGTGGGGGGGGGGCAGAGGCTGGTTGACACCTCAGCTGTAGATGATTTGACCAGTTATTTCAGGTGAAAACGGCAAATTTCACCCCTGAAGCCTCTTGGTCATGCTCTGTGCACCTCTCCTCTCATTTTCTGAATCAGTTATAGAGGGGAGTTATAAAGCACGAAGGATGCTTGCCAATATTTTTTCCTCCTTGTTTACACAATTGACAAAGAGGTGGCACAAAAGAAATTTCTGCTGCAACAAATAGATTTTATTCAGGCAACAGTCATCCCTCATGGCATCGGATTGCTCTAGAGGCAAATCGAACAAGGCCACTCAGTGAAGTCCTCTGTGCTCCCTAAGGCTGCACCTAAATCTTGCCAAATTCTGCCCACACTTCTGGAAAGAAGAAATCAGGTATCTTCATATTGGCAGTCTAATAAACATTCGCCTTGATAAAGGATGCCAAGGTGGTATATTCTCTATATGACTGTGATGAAGCAGGTAATAGCTTTTTCAGGGACTCTACAGTGCTATTTAGAAGTGTTCCCTGTACCCTTTGCATTACCTTCCCACCATCACCACCAGTTTGAGTTTCTTCTCTGAGGAAATCGGTTCCAATATAAAGGCAAAAGATATTCAGTATGTTAATATCTGATGCTTATACTTTACCTACAGTATGAAACTGAATTATATGGGCTATCTCAGGTAATGATTTTTGAAGTGCTTGTCCTCTGTGTATTCATTTACCCATTTTAAAAAACCCGGGCCATAGCATTAGCATTCAACACATCCAATGATAATGATCTCCACAGTGCAATCCCATTTAACCCAACTCTCCTTACCCCTGAGCTCTTTTCATAACCGCTAAATGGCATGGAAAGCGATTGATGAGTATGGCCTGCAAAGCTCAGTGCAATTCCAAGTGTGCTTGATTACTAGGTGAACAAGGCAAGCTGCTTTGACTGCAAAACAGCACAATTCACCTGACACCTAGGAACCAGGGATTCAAAATGCAGCCTGATCAAACCCGTCCAGTCAAATGGAATTGTACCAGTTTAAGTATGGTCTGGTGGCTTCTCTGGATTGTGTGCCTAGGTGTGGCTATTAAACAAAACTGTGCCTCTGCCTGCCATCCTAAGAAGGTGGAACAACGAGGAAATTCCAGGGAAATCCGTGAGAATTTTGTCTGGGGAAACAGGTTTAGGACTAGAGAGTCCTTTGGCTAAACACTAATGCATTGATGCAGCTATGGTTTGGCCATGGGCTGAGGTTCAGGGCTGTGCAACACAGTGGGCCCCAAATGACCACACCTGGGAGTGCACAGGTGATATACAGGTACATCAGCACCTGCGCCAAAATTGGCATGCTAGAGCCAACCAAGGCTGACACTGTGCACTGCAGCATCCTGCCTTATTTTTTAAAAACATTTTATAGTAAGGGGCAGCTGGCAGAACTTGTACAAGGATTATAGCTGATTATTTCTACAACAAGTTCTTACTCTTAAGAGTGAGCACTTATTCTTAAGTAAAAGTGTGTAGCTTTTTACATGTACATGCTATGGATTTTAAAGAAATATACATTAATTATAAATTATTTAATTAAATGTGTATATTAAAAGAAGCACTTGCTGGTAATTATTTTATAAGTCATACTGAGTACGATTCAGTAAAAATTAAGCCCCTTTAAAACATGGGCTGTGTCATGGCTGACATCAGATTTTGCGCCATTCCTTTTCAGATTTCACTTGCTTTACCATGTCAAGGAGAATGTACATGTTAAGTTTCTACAGAGAACAGGCCAAGTCCAGGAAATGCTCAGGCACTGAGGATTCTATCCACCTGCACCATGGAGGTACAGTGGCTAGAAGGCTGGACTTGCACCAAGAAGAAATGGCCCTCACTTCAGAAGCCATTATTGTCTATCTCAAAACCCACTGGGCTTGGGCAAGTTTCTCAGGCTAGCCAAATGCACAGGCTCATTCAAAGAGTAAAACTGTGATGCAACCCCATGGATGCTGCCTGCCATGAGATCCTTACAAGGGTGAGAGAGAAATGCCACAGGTGTTCACAGAAAAACTGTGGCAAGGCAACACGGTTTTTAATCTTCTAGGTTTAAATGTAGGCCTTTCCTGAAGGGTAACTCAGCCAATATGTTTACAATAGATCAGAGATTATTTTATTGTGCTTTTATGTTGATATGTTTTATTTATTTTGCTCCTTGAGAGCTCACTAGATATTGGTGTATAAATTTATAAAATAATTAAATTAAAAAAGGCAAAAGTCTCCATACATTCACCCTATCCTATGAACGACTTTCAAGAGACTTCCATTATTGGGTTGTAT